GTGTCTGCCCTTGAAAGCCTGCATGTTCAGTGAAAACGCTGAGGTCACCAGCCAGTGGTGGTTATCTGACTCCAATCTGGAGTCTCGGGTAGAGGACAGATTTCACTGTGAGGAATGCAGAGTGTCTCCTGCAGTTACACCATATCTCTGACACAAACACACCACCCAGGGGCGGTCTGATGCGCACCGCCAAGTTTGGCTTTGGCAGGATTCACTGGCACACTTTGGAGCAGTGTGTTGTTATTTTATCTTTTCTGCAGATTGTTAAATGTAATACTGTGCAAGTGTGAAACCTCAGCGATGATTTTTATCACAAAAGTACACATCAAAGACAGAGTAGCGCCCAAAGCATTTTGCATTAGTCTGAGGAATCTCTGCAGAACGGTCGTCACAACGCACAGCAACAGAGTCATGGCCTGAACACAAATGCCCCCCCAAGCAAAACAACCTTTGATGTGAGAAGAGGAGAAAACTTTGAAAATGTCAGTTTCCGTCGAAAAAAAAAAAGGTGAACTCATCAACCATCTAAGCAGTGAGAGCAGAAAGATGCTTCCAGCTCAAAGCTCCTCTCAGACTCTAACAATGAGAAAACAAGGTCAGGAAGGAGCGCCTGACTCTAACCTCTCAGATTCCACTCAAAAGTTCCTGCCTGCCAACGCAGCGAACTCTGCCAAATCTAAAAAGTCTGAAAACTCCTTGGCCGGATCGCCAGCTGTCAACAGACGACATTACAGGGACTAGAGCAGTCTGATAACATTTCAAGACGCATAAAGAGAAATGTGCCTCAGACCTCTGAACAAATCTGAAGGAGGATTAAACATTAAAGTGGCTGAAGCGTACTGCAATGCTGGGAGGCGGGGCTAAGACACCGACATCTCTCCCCCATTAAAACACAAAGACATCATAAACACACGCATACAAAAACCAATTAGCTCGATTGAGTGAAGTTATCTAGATCGTCTGGATCCGGTATCAGCACACACTTTCGTGACAGAAATTAAGTGAAGGCTTCCGATAAAGACTACATTTGAACAACTGGCACAGGAGGCCGGTGGTTCAAATGGTGTGTGTGTCTGTGTGTGTGTGTGTGTGTGTGTGTGTGTGTGTGTGTGAGTGTGAAGACAGCCGGGGGCAGGGGAGGATGGGGGACGTCTCTGCAGACTGGACAATGTGGTGGTTTTGGGGTTTCAACATAGATTTGAGATTCCCACCCATGAGCGGTCACTGGTGGCAGGGCATCACCAACCTTTGATAAGAGGGTGTTCGGTGTAAAGTATCGCTTTAATTAGTGTCTTGATTGTGGATGTTGATACTCATTTAAGGACATTTTAGGAAATCATGAAAGCGCTGTCTGTCTGTGTTGACGCATTTGTCCCTGGGTCACCCATCACTGCCATCGTGGCACAAAAGATCCCTTAACAATTCAAACGACAGCTTGTGTCTGACATCTATCGCGTCTGACCTGACCTTTGGAGTCTTCAGTCACTCTGAGGAGAAAAACGTTCTGTTGTTATAGCCCAGAAAAATGAGAGGGCAGACTTTAGTGAGTTTGACAAGTAAATCAGTTGTAAGGGGCCCGGAGTGCTGGGGAAATATTTCATCATCTTGACTCATGCCTCGACAGTGCATCTGACAGGCATCTGTGAGTACACATGGATGTGCATGCATAATCTATTTCACTGCAGGGGCAAAACTTCCCACATGGAGGAGAGCACTTTGGAAACAACTCTTAAGTGCCTTAAAAAAAACATAGTGGGGGGTTCACAAACAAGCTACTTTATACTGAATAACTCAGAGGATGGTGCAACGGTGCATCCAGGTGATAAGATAAAATATGGAGTCATTGGATTCGTGTTTAGTGAAGTGAAATTCAATGAAAAAAAAAAAAAAAATCAGTGGAGGAATATATCAATCAATCAAAATATATTTGTATTGCCCATATTCACAAATCACAATTTACCTCAGGGGTTTACAGTCTGTACAAGGTGTGATATCCTCTTTCTTAAACCCTCGACTAGAGAGGAAAAAATCCTCCAAACAGCATCTACCTACAAGTATTTAAATGTTTAAGAGGTGTATCATCTAATAAAAATTCAGTAAAAGAACTCCACTTTACTTAAGTTTATATTTCATGTTCAACCATTTGATATTTCTATTTCATGACTTGTGAGGAGTCAGTTATTAGAAAATTAATCTGCAACTTGTCTGATAATGGATTAAATCTGAGGTTTTAAGTTGTCACTTTGAGCTCTGGGCAATTATAATGTGCATTTCTCAGCATTTACTCACAACATTTACTTAAACAAAATATTTTTCTTTGGATTGATTGGATTGAAAATAACCAGTAGATTAATCCCCAATGAAAACATATTGATGTTTGAGGCTCTTTAGTTAAAAACAGCTTCAATTACTCATCAGTTGACATCACTCGGACTCATGACGGATGTTATGAACTGAGGGGCATGCAGCTTGAAACAGTGTTTACCAGACAGGGAGGGTTTAACGAAGAGAAAAGATTAAACAACTTGTCCATTAATTGATTAGTCAATCAACAGAAAATGAATTGACAACTATTCTTTTGATTGTTTAATATAAAACTCTCACTTGTTTAAGCTCCTCTGAGGATTTAGTTAGTTTGAATTTGCTTCTTTTCTCTGTTTTTTATGGCAGTGACTTGAATTTGGGTTATAAATCAAATTACCTGCAGGTTATAGTATATTTTAAGTTTTGAAGCGATGTTCTGGTCTTTAAATTTACCACATCAGCCTTCAAAGTCAAATTAAATGTGTGTCGAATCACATTTTCACGTCATGTCACATCACATTTTTCAAACATTCTGGATCAGTTTAAAGTCTGAGTTCAGCAGCAAGAAGCAGAAGCACAGAACCTGCGAGGGACATCACCTCAGCACCTTTGTGTGTGCATGTGTGGGTCATTAGCCAGTGTGCTTGTGTGGTTGTGTGTGTGTGTGTGCATATGTCAGTCTGTAAGAACCAAGTAATGACAGATTAGCAACAACAGGCTCAAAAGCCCCTGAGGCAGGGAAAGCGAAGGAGCAGCTGGTGCTGGAAGTTGAAATATAAACACAAAGAAGGGAAGTTAAATAGTGAGACAGAGTCAGTTTCCAGGAACTGGCCGATAGTTTGTTCTAAACGACTTAGTGAATTGGAAGAAGGACTTTATAATCAACTTTAGAGAGATGCAGCAGGAAGTGAGTGAGGCTGTGGTGACGTGATGATGTTTTCTGATTCATTCAAGTGTTCAAGCTTTCCACATTTGAATAAATTGTGGATAAATTATTGTGGAGAGAATGAAAAGCCTATTGTGGTAATCAACTCTGAGGCAAACAATGGCTTTAAATTAAGTTTTCTAGGTCAGCAGAGGAGGAAATGTCTTTATTGTGAGGAGGGAGCTATCTCGGATGAAAAAATGTTTTGGATATTGACGTGACTGTCAGAGGAGTGTGGATCAAAGCGGTTTGAACAGCTTCCTGTGGTAAATCTGCAGCAACTGACAATGCAAGGAACAGAAAGAAAGGAAGCTCATTCTAGAGCTGAAATTTGCATTTCACCTCACCTGTGATGAAGGAGAGGAGGCGGCTTCACAGGCATTTAGAATGTGTAAAAAAAAAAGATGATCTGAGCTTTTTAAAAGTGAATATATTCACCTGTGTTTCAGTGTCACAATATAAGAATTTACTGTTGTAGTGGCCATTAGTGTGTAGCACAATCAAGCATTCCAGTGGTTTATTGTGGACATAAATATGTGGCTGAATTCAACACAATCTCTTATAAAAGTCATTAAATAAAAAAACCCCACTCTGATTAGAAAAATGCTCCTTTCCCATCTATTAGTCACAACTAAAATCATTCCATTATTTAGCGTCAAGGAAAGTTTGTACAAGCAAGAGGTGAAAAAGCTGAGTTTATGAACTGAATAATTTACATGGGATTAGAGGAAAAGGTGCGGAGGCCGAGGGAGGCAAGAAAGAATATGATACTCTCATGCAAACTTACAGTATATGCTCTCTAATTTATAAACGGCTACTGGGAGCTGACTGCAAGCAAAATGGAAACACTTTTGTTATGCATTGAAATATGGTAATGATGCCTGTGCATTTCTATCATTCCTCATAAAAGAAAGGTTTACAATGAGACATCTGAAGGGGGCAACACATTTTACTGTTGGGCTATTTTGATGATTGATGCTCTCTGAGACGTGCAAATCCTAAAAATACCAACAAGGCAATATACTGTAGCTGAGGCCACCTTTTAATTTTTTATTCAAATTTGATGTTTTTTCTGCTTCACAAAAACTTCTTCTACATCTTGAGTGAAGAATTAAGATGAAAACAGGATAAACTCAGTGAATTCAGCTCACAAAGCATCATGTTGTTTAAAAGTGAGAAAATACATTATTATGATGAAGCTGATTTGATTAAAAAAGGGTAACATATATCCACCTTGCAGAAAGTGGTGCAATTAATAGTGTGTCCAACAAAGACACGAGGCCTGAGGAGCAGAAAGAACTGTAAGTATTGCAACAATGCTCTGAGGCAGGATCGTAAAACTGTCCGAGAGTTGAACATCTCAGGGGGAGGCTGACAATCCATATTCATCCTCTAAACACAGTGAGGAGTTTCTAAATCTTATCAAAAATGCAAAAGAAGGCATTAATGTGGCTATAAATCAAAAGATGATCAGACTACAGAGCACAACCCCCACTGCCATTTCATTTAGACTGGAACAAACACAAGACATGCAATCTTAAGAGCAATGAAAATGAAAATAAGACTGTGTTCCTGCTAGATAGATTCATTGAACAATTACACTGTCCCATGCTGCGGAGAATCTGCAATTCAACACTTCACTTTCTTACATTGGCAAATCAATATCTGTTTGTTTTTTTTTGCACTTTAATAGCTATGTAGAAATATGAGTGTTTATTAAATGTTATGAGTCGTAGAGACGGAGGAATGGATGAGAGTGGTGCTTCATTACCTGTATCTCTCTGGCGTGGTAAATGATAATCAGCCCCAGGAGGATGATTGTAGAAAGGCTTATCAGGCATTTTAGAGCTAATGAATACAGGGACTCCTGGAAAAGAGCAATAACACTAAAGCCAAACAAAACACAGCATCATGACATCTACAAAATATGGAATCACATGAAGAGAATACATGAAAAGTGGTTAAGAAATTTAGCTTCTGCAAGAAATCCTGACATAACATCTTCTATTGTGGGGTTCCCACTCACAGTTGGACAGCAGAGGGCCTTTTGGCCTGCATGTGACAGGCAGTGTGACTACATGTAGTTTAGTGACAGCCTGCTTTTCTTTAACACTTTGAGTCAGAAGTTGTTATGTGCTCCCTCAGTCACATGCCACTAAATTAACTCTGGACTGCACAGCATGAGCTCCGAGAAAATACGCACCTTTCCATAGGCTCCCCATGAGAGTTCAGTCTCTATAACCATAACAACGATCCCAAACATCCCAAAGATTAAAGCATAGTCGCTGAGACGCTTCCTCTTCTCGAACAGGGCCCTCCGGTGCCCGAGCTTCTCCCCAATGTTCTGGTTCTTCTTCTTCCCCGATTTGCCGCCGCTGTGGCCGCAGCCTCCCCCCGCGTCCCCCGATGCGTAAGGCATCAGGGTGGTGGAATTGTTCTCCGGCTTGGACGACAGAGGGTCCGATGCATCCGCGGCTGAGATGGGCTGCAGAGGCTGGGACTCGGAATCAAACTCGTGTATGTTTCTGCGGGACGAGCTCAAGTTGCTCAGCGGACGCATGACGCCGCCGTTGTATCTGCAGCTGCTCATGGCTATTTCATTGTAGGAGTTACTGTCTTTGTGGCCGCTGCCCAGGCTGCCCCGACCGCGGCACTGCTGCTGCTGCTGCTGCTGATGGTGAGGAGGAGGAGGAGGAGGAGGAGGCGGAGGATGGTGTCTGGATGAACTACCATGACTAGAAGGTGTGAACTCGCACACGCTGTACTGGCAACCTTGCCTGGAAGACGTCTCCGAAGGTGTCCTCAAAGTTCCCACAGTGATCGGCGACGTCCCGCGAAAGACGAGGCTTTTCCGCGCGTCACAGGTGCAGCTACTGCAGGTGCAGCATCGGTCGTGCGGCCGCTTGCCGAGCCGATCCTCCCGCCCGCAGTAGTGCTGGTACTTACAATGCTGGAACTGCTGCTGCTCTGGGAAGAAATCGTTGTGCAGGTGCAGAGGGGTTTCCATGTCAGTGCTGCCGTTTAAAGCAGCAGCAGTCGGGCACCACACGGCACCCGACGAAGGGCGTTATGGTGCTTACGGGAGGACGGAGCCGCCGCTGCACGAACAGACCCATTTCGGCTCCGGTAGAATGTGAGAGGAGCCTCCGATTGGGCAGAGAGGACCAAAACAACTGGCTCGACGTCATGAAAAGGTTGCAACCACGGGACGTGAAGCCCAGCCTCGTTCCATCAGGATCAACAAAAACTACACAATCATTGCTTTTTGAATAAATTGATCTCTACCTGTACTTTTACACCTGATAGAGCTGATGTGTCCAATAAAAACACGAATAAAAGTAATAAGTCAAAAACTTACTCCAGGTGTCATTTCACCACCTCTGCACATTGAGGCTCCCTTCTCCCACATGTAAATCAACTTTATCAGCCAACCCTATTCATAAATCCCTGACCGATTCCCAATGTATTGAATTCACATGAAACACACAGTACACGGGTGCATCCACTGATTTACAGGGTTGTACCTTTGGCCGTGCACCATGTGACCGCGCATGCATGCAGGCCCCGTCGCATGAACCTATATGACTCCCTGCAGCCGGAGATTGATGTGACCGCTGGTGGCTGCGTTATTAACGGACCACAAGAGTTATATCACCCCGAGGAAATCCAGCCAACTGCCCGGGATTGAGCAGCTGCGGGGGCATAAAGCAAAGCCTGGGACCCAATCATCCACACGTCCCGGCGTTACAGCAGCAACAAATTCAGTCTTGGGGCTGTTAGGAGCCATATCTGGGTTGTGTTTTTGTATTTTGCGGGTAATAGTCAGAGCTGCGCTGGAGTAGTAAAGTTGTGTCCCTCCTTGAAGTGGAGTTCATTGAGAAACGCAGGATCCCAGGATGTCAACAGGATCGTGTGTTTTTGTTTGTGGTGATGGAAGCGGAGCTGTCCCCGGTGCTGAAGGGCAGTCCATCATGAAGTAACTTTCAGCACCGCGGACAGCTCCACTCTCCCATTGATCACCAGCGAGCCTTTAATAAAACAATCCTCCTGCACAGGATCGCAATGCGCACTTACTCCTCATTGGCTGGAGTCAAGGACCACGTGACACATACCCCCACCAACCCTCTCCAGTCGGAAGCCCTCTCCTCTTTTTTTCTGTGTGTGTGTGGAGTCTGGTGAATGAATGCCAGCCTCATAAATTCAAGGCACATATCGCCCACAGGATGGACACGGTATCCAATCCGGTCAGAGGGAAAGCGAGGAGACACCAGGGGAGAGCTGTTCATTTTAAGCTGAATGGTGATCGTACTATATTGTATTAGCTGGAAGCATGAGATCCTTCCAGTGCAGATATTGGTAAATCTTGATCCACACACACACACACACACACACACACTAGTCTGCATTTCCCCCCTGATTTATCTAAGAGCTTCTCCTTGTCTTGACTGTGCTGGTAATTCACCCAGATGCTCCTTAATCACCACCTTTGTAATCATATGCACACATCATGAATTGGAATGAATGAATCTTAATGTTTTAATGAATAAAACAGTGACACGATTACAGTATTCCAATTCACAATACACTGATAGACCTAATTCTGATTATTATATTATGCAATTATTTCAAAAAGGAGGATTTGTGACGAGCTTCTCTGGTTAGGATACATCTTTCTTTTTTTCAGCTGCAGACTTTTGATCCAAGCACTATAATTAGTACAAGTGCATGTGTTTATATTTATCATATACATATTCATTTATACCCTGTGAGTGGACCTGGTTATTGCTCCTCCTAGTGGTGGAAACGATAATGAAGACAACCCAGTGCAGCTGAAAGAGAAGAGGAAAAACATTTTACTGACGTTCTGTGAATGCATAAAAGGCAAACATGATGATTTGATTTTTAATTCCCTATTCTACAAACTGATGATTTGCATTTCTCAGGATGATACATTTCAGACAAGTGACATGTATATACAGTAGGACTGGTTTCAATTGAGCTAAAGATAGAAAAATCTAATCTCACTGAAACACTAATACCTTTAAAGGTAAATGTAAGAATATAAATGTACAATATCTGAATCATTGACATTAGGATATACAAACATTAAAATGCAAATAAAACATTTTGTTATATGTTTACCGTTTGCTGATTTCTCTTATAGCTCATGTTGATTTATGGATTAGTGCAGTCTTCTGGTCATAAATGGCATCATCTGTACAAATGTGTTTATAGAAGGTTCTAAATATTCAGGTGAAGTGAGGTGTTTATCCTTCAGAAGGTAACATACATCAAAATGTTGATTTTGTGGTTCCTGGATAAAATGACTGCATCAGAGTTGAGCCCATGAAGCTCGGTTCCCCATGTGCTGTGCCTTGAAAGAGGAACATAAAAGCCCCTCATCACAATCACAGAGGCAGCATCACCTTTCTTCACTGATGTATGTGTTCACCTCCTGGACCGTGTTTTCATTACACTGACACAATGAAGCAGAAAAACATGGAGGTAATCAAGAGGCAAAGTGAGCAAGCTGCTTAGGTCTGCACTTTACTCTAGGGACCAGGCCATTAAAGAACATCCTCGACCTTAATAGTTTCTCGCAGGAATTGTGACCTCTCGGACAGTCTTTCACACATAAGCACAATTTTCCTTCCAGTATGAGAATAGGAATATAACACTTAACACAATATCATGACTGGTTATCCATCCATCCTTTATATCACTTATGGGTTTGCAGGGGGAGCCCATAGAACAAATCACAGTGAACGTCGGGCATCAGACAACCAATCAGACTCACATGGTCTATTTACAGTCTCCAGTTAACCTAACTCCAATGTGGATGTCATCGGATTGTGGGAAAACACCAGCAAACCTGGAGAAATCTCACACAGACACGGGGAGAAAATGCAAACTGCACACAGAAAGGATCCTCACTGAAAGCTGATTCAAACCAAGAACCTTGTTGCTGTGAGGTGACGGTGCTAAACACCTGTTGTCCTCGGGTTATCCGAATATAGGTTTGTATAAAAAAATAAATTGTGTCGGCACATCTGATTCAGTGCAACGTTTCAGTCACTTCCAACTGACATCATACAGCCCTTATATTGTCCACGGTATTGAGATGTCTCTGTTCCTTTGCAACCTATTGAACGCAGTCCCACACGTACTGTAGCTCAGGAAATTATCAGTATCTCTCTCTACCAATGCCGCCACAATAAATTCCTTTACATTTATTATTAGAAGAAACTTTGAGTTGTTTGAAGAACACCGATTGCTTGTGAATTCCCATGTTCCCCATGAAGGTGTGAAATTGCTTTTGTTATATTGTGATACACAGAGGTCTCATTTTGTTCAAGTACTTTTTAATAACTTAAAAGCCTCTGGTGACCGACGGTACAGATGAGACTCCACGTGAGCAGATCAAAACAATGAATGAGATCGAAAACCTAAATGCTAAGTGACCTGGAATGACTGCTGCAGAAGGTTTTCATGTTATTCATGCTTCAGCACTTCATACAATATGCATTTATGAGTCCACTGAGATCAATATATTTCACAGGTTCTTTGACACTGAAAAGATTGTTGAGAAATTAATTCACCCTCAAAACAAAGAAACAACAGACGAGGACAGCAACAACGAATTTTCAAAAAGAATAAAATATCCCCCCACACAATATTACCTAATTCTAATTGTCAGTATAACTGAAATTGCATTTCAAAATCCATGATCTCCTCCAGGTTTCACCAAAAAACAAGGTCACCTGTGTCCATTGTGCTGGAAATAAACTGAGCATGATTGATCTGAGTCATACAGACAGAGGATACCTGACTTCAGTTTGGAACTCGCCCTCCAGCATAAATCTGTGACTGTTTTTTTAACTCCAATTCCTCCTCTTATGTTGCTGATACCTGAATCCAGGAGGCTTTTAGGCAGCGTCTCACCTGACAGAGGAGCCATTTGTGTTGAGCTGGAGATTTACTGGCAATCTGGTTTAAGTGCCACGCTCAAGGGCATGATGGCACGATATACAATGTGGGATTTTGACTCTCACGTCTCAAATTTCCACAGGCGGAGTGATAGACTTCTGCTGTAAATCTGTCATTTGTAATACAAAGCAGGTGCAACACGCTGGCGTGCACGGGCAGGAATTCACGGCGTAATTGGTCTGTCTCCCCATCTTGTTAGCTTATATCTAAGTTAGTCTCAGACTCTGAATGAACTAAGTCAGGAGTGAGTTTTCAAATTGGTGTCACTTTGCAAAGTCCAGAATAGTTGGTTATTTAAAAAATCCTCTTTGCTCACAAACTTCTTAAATAAACTTGTTTTGTTTTTAGGTGCACTGGTCTGATTCCTGCCACTGGGGATAAGAACACGTATCCTTGGTGACTGGCACTTTGATGAGCTCTGCATGTTTCATCTCTGAATGTCGTGTGTTCGTCTGACAAAGAGAACTTGAACCCAGGTGTCTTTGACATTCTAGATAAGCACAAATCACTAAATATAGCATTGCTCTGGATCTGTACTGCCTTGAGTGCAGCTACACATAAGACGGTTTATCCCCCCGTGTGACACCAGCTGCATCACTCACCTCAGCTTCTGTTTGATGTCTTGCAGCTGGATGCAGTTTGGTGAAGTCAGAGCATTCCACCAACATCTGTCACAAGAGACAGACACAAGAAAGAATGTTAAATTAAGCTCTGCCAGGTGACTGAGCTTAACAGTAAGATAACAAGACTTCAGCTGAACAGACATGGCTTGTTGCTCTGTGTGGCTGAAATGGTGAAGTCAGCATGTAAATATGCTCACACGCTATAGAACCATCAGCATACACAATGCACTTACTGTGTAATGTTTGCAATGTTGACCATATTTTAACATTTTAGCTTGTTCACATTAGTTAATAATCAAGAGGTAGAGCTGATGGGAATGTTGTTAGTTATTGTAAGTTGATCATGAAACGAAGCACAGAGTAGAATTGTCCAGAGGGTGCAAAATTAAAAGAAAAGGGATCATCGTTTTCTCTCTGTGACCTCAGGTGATACTCAATTCACAACACTCAAAATAAACTGAAACCAGAGACGGCTGAAGCACAACACACAGATTTAATTTACAATGCATGAAATAAGACTTTCATTGAGGTAGATGGCAGCATGAGGAGCCATAAACACAGACCACAATACGGGAGGGAGGGAGGGGGAGCAAGTTAAACATACACAAAATCTAAATATATATCAAATGAACAACCCCTGAAAAAAATGAACTGCGTGGGAACAGACAG